TATTTATCCTTATTTTAAGTAAGTAAATGAGATAGTTTGCCAATGGAATGAGTAATTTTACTCTTAAAATAAGCTAATTAGATAATATGCACTTGAAATAAGACAATATAATTGTGTTTTACTATTTTAAATCTATATTGTCTTGTTCCATTGGTAAAAGGTCTCTTTTACCTCATCAATTCAAGAACAAATGCACTTATTTAAAGAAAAAATGACTTATCTAGATTTCGATTTTTTCCAGTGCTGCATTTCTGCCTCATTATGCCAATGATGAAGGTGTGTGTCTTAGCGGGTCACCTTCTACCCATTGTTTGGTTAGCAATATTATATTATATTATATTTAATATTATAAAATGTACATAAATAAATACTTTCAAAAATAAGTGATTAATAAATAAAGGTGAAGAAAATTACTGATGAGATTGAGCTAGGACGTTTTCTATCTTTGACAGAGCTGAGAAATCTCTCAGTCAAAGCTTTTGATTCCCCCCCAAAGTTTATTGTTTTTTTTTGTTTGTTTTTTTAAGTAGTAGTTTATTGTTTTTCTAATATTTTTTTTCATGTTTAAATTTATCGAAATAATATTTTTTATCAGATTTTTTAATTATAAATCTTTTCAACTTTCACTTTTTCTTTTTTCAGATTGAGTTTTATAAAATGCAATTCATACAAATCACTCTGAAAAAGAAAACATTACCATAATGTTGACAATACACAATGGGAAAAAAAAACATTATAAAAAATAAAATTTGATCATCTTAAATCTTTTAAAGAAATTAGTGTTAATAAAGTGCTAAAACAGAATCTGAAAAAAAGCAGTTACTCTAAAAATTCAAATGCTCATTTCTTCATTGCATTTTATTTTTCTTTTGGTTTTCAAATTTTTTTTTATTTTTTATTCTATTGACAAAACATGCTCTATACTGGCAAACACAAAAGGAAGAAAATTCATCTGACATTTCTTAACAACTGCAGGTGTTTTTCAGACAGACGGACATGGAAAGTCTGCATCATTAGGCCTCCTTTCCTCCTTTGGCCTTGTCAGTATGCTGGCCTAAAGCAGGGCAGAAATCCTGGGAGGATACAGTGTTGGGAACACAGACTGTTTAAATGTGACAGCCTGATGTAACACACTCTAAGGCTGAGGACGTTTATATTTTTCATTTTAAGATTAGAAATAGATTTCAATTCATATTTCCATTAGCCTGACTTTTTAATTGTCTGTTTGCTGTGCACACATTTAGATAACTTTATTTGACAGTTTGCTAAATTTAGGTTCAAATGCAATGGATTAATTTCTTTTTCTTAAAGTTGCATGTTTCCTCTGGAGCTGCTCCTGGAAAATAACAATGAACTCCAGCTTTCTTCTCTTTATATGGTCAATGCAGCCTCCTCAGCCGGTCACACCATTCGTTGTAATGAGAGGGGACATTTGTTCATCATTTGTTGAGATTTGTTTTGGATAGTTGTGTGAAATGTTGTCCTTTTGTATAAACGTTGTGTCAGTATTTGTCTGTTAATAAAGTTTATATGTATGTTAGTTTGATAGACAGTTACCCCTCCTTGTGTGTCAACAGTGGTCTGATCAGCCACTGTTTAAGTTTCCCCTCATGGCCTGTTTGGGACGTCAGTTTGTGCTTCAGTTCTTTGTGTTAGTCCCTGAATTGAAGTCTGTTTTGTTGACCCTTTGTTTCTGGGCCCAATTTATCCTTTCAAATTTATTGAAAAATAAATTAACCCTTTATAGGCCAAGTTACCATTTTTTGATCAATTGCTTTTGACCCCTGAATGATATATTACCTACTGTAAAATTAAGTTGAAAGAAACAAGTAAAAAAAATGGGGTACAGAGCTAATTGAAAAATTTAAAAGTTAAGTAAAAAGGTTAATAAGCCTGGTTAACAATTATATTTAGATTTATAAACTAATAAATGTATGTGCCAATATCAGCATTAAAGGAATAGTACACCCAAAACATGATTAGCCTTCATTTTCTACTCACCCCCATGCTGAACAACACTCTGGAGTACTTTTTTGAT